CTTTTATGTTTCTTGAATCCCCAGGAGAAATTCTTCATAATTCATGGTCTTCTGGATGCATAAACTGTGAGGCATACAATGGAGGCAGACACCATAATTCATAATGTATAACTCACAAAATGTGATGCATAACTTCACAAGCTCATTTAAAAAGTTGCATCTTTTTGTTATTCAAAATGGAATTCAACAGCAGTGGGGGCTACACAGGTGGGACCCAGTAAAATTGTGGACAATTTGTTATCCCATCTAAGTGTCTGGGTCTAAGTGTCTAAGTGTTTGTTTCCTTCTGTTTGCCACCCCACCCCAACTAAGTCCTGCATGTTGTCATGGAATTCGTCCATTTCACCCTCTGTTACCAACTGCAGTTCCCCAACCTTCAGCAGCCGAAAGTCTAACTTGTCTTTGAAGAGGAAGGAGGCAACTGGTAGTTGGAAGACCACAAGATGTTGCTCAAGTGCAAGCTGCCTGCTCTGACAAGCGCCTGTCTGTGGGCCGTCTTACGTCTGCCAGCCCAGTTGGCAAAGGCAAAGTCCCTTTGCCAAAAGGTCGAAGATTGTTTTTGCTAGGCACAGGGAAAGTGTGCAGAAGTATGGCAAATTTTAAGAACACTTCCCTGTACTTTACATGCAGATAAATTCAGGGCCCTATAAACTAGGTCACTGTGCAATATCTCTCTGTGTTGCCTTTAAGGCTAAGAGGTTGACGTTAAAAAAGTAATCTTCTTCACTTCCCCACTGGTCAATGTCTGTTAATAACCCATTACTAAACTCCTTGCTATGCACTCCTTTCTTTCACTTTGAGTGTGCACACTGTGATGCCATGCTCACATGTTCATCGGGAGTATAATAAAACATTTATTATTTCCATATTTAGATGCAGGGCATTTTTTCTGATAATATGCCATCTAATTACTTAATCAGAAAGGTTATATAAAATAGTTTTAACAGTAGGGGGCTTTTTAATTAACATTATAATGCATAGCTGCATCACAGCCTATTTTAGTATTGATAACCAAACTGGCTTAATTTTACCCAAAGTCATTCACCTCAATTAAAACTATGAGAAAATTTGATTGCAACTCTAAGTGCCCTTTTATGTCAGATTAAAAGAGATAAGTACCCATGGGGATGTGCACTGGTTGTTTGTGGGTAGCAACAAAACTCTGCTGTTTGTCTGTAGCGAGGGAAGAAGAGGTGTATCACAGAGATGGGGGTATATCCGACATCTGATAAGCTATAATAGGAAGGTAGCTTATTTGGTCCACCTAAGTCAGTCCTGAGTATCTGCAACCTTTTCCAGGCCTGGAGATGATGGGTGTTGAAACTTGGACCTTTTGCATGCAAAGCCTATGATCTATCATTGAACTGCAGCCCTTTGAAGAGAGCATGGCTGCTGGGCTACAGTCGTCTTCATGGGAGATAAGTGGTGCATCTTGGATTTAGTTCAAACATCACCACAGCCTATCATGGGTTAATTAACCTTGAAGAACTGTAGGAATGTCCTACAGGTGGAACTGTCCACCTTTATGAATGCAGACCCCCCCACAGCTGGGGATTCCTGTGACTTGTGTCCTCTGGAACTGGCTGGGGAGTTAAACAACTGCTGCACATCCTCAGGAAAGAACGTGGATTCTGCAAGGATTTCTTAAGCTTCCAATGGCCAAGTTTGCATAACATAACATAAACTCTCTGGCCAAGTTTGCACAACATGGGAAGCCATGGCAAATCCCAGTTGGTGTTGCATGTTAATTATGGCAGATGGTGTACTCTGTGCCCCTTTGAGGATTAATTAACCACAAGGCATTACATGTGGTTCAAAGTCTCCCTTTGTATATGACTGTTAGGTCATAATGAATTATCTGTTGGGTACGATGGGGGGAATGTTTTCGTAACTAGAGTTAAGCAATTTTGACATAGCACCTTAGGATCAAAGCTATCATTTATTTTCACATCTATACATTAGAAGTTGCGATTCCGCAGAAGGACATGCCCCCTTCCACTGCCCCTGCCCCTTTCCTCAAGCACTGCTCATCGACTGGTTCCCCATTTGGTGTACCCTCACCATTTTCAAAGGTTGAAATGTCTCTCCTGTGGCATATTTACTGACAATGAGAAATTGGTACTAAAATGTTTATTTTATTACATTTCTAATCCACACTAAATCCCACCGAATATTCTTGATGTGTTTCTATTTTTGGTATTTTTGTTTGCAGCTCTGCGCACCACTGGCTTACCCCACCCACCCCCACAAGAGCACCTCCAAAATGCAATTTAAGTCCCTGGACTAAAAGAATTTCCACACCCCTGGCAACAGCAACACAATGGCTACATAGGTGGTACTTAACACAAATGAACATTTAAATGTATGTTTACACAAGAGAGAAGTTTGTGATGGTAGAAGTATGAGTAAGCTTTTATTTATATGTTTTAAAATTTACTTGTCATTCTATAGAAAATATATCTCAGGATTATGCACAATGAATCTAATAAATTCAAAATCCATTTAGGAAAATAAAAATATAACACAATGAAAGAATAATTTTAAATGGGTAGTCTAAAACAGGCATCAACCACACAGAAACCTAAAACTGCTTTAACACAACAAAGCAACACAATTACACAAGGAAATTTATGCAGAAGTTACCAGGACATGAATCACTGAAGCCGGGATAGCACTAAGTAAATTGCAGTTGGCCTACCAGCTTAGGTTGGTAGAAAGTATTCTCTGCCATGGAACGATCTGACAGCAAAGATGGAGGTACAGGCAGCCCTAAGATATGAATAAGACAATGAAATTCCTTCTAATTTAGGTTGAGATGGGCAGATGAACCATCTAGTAACAACAGCTCCATCATGCCTGCACTAATCCTGAAAATATATGCATATTAATTAATTTCTTACAAAATGAGTGCAGTTGTGCCATATTTAGGTACCATTAATTTCTGAGGGACCAGTGCAAAAGTGATTCATGGTTGTAGCATGGAGAATGCACGTCGTATTTCATTCTACTGATTGACTAGCTTGGTACAGATTGGAAATTACGCTGTCTAGCTTCAAAAGGTTTCACTCTGTAAATAAAAAGTTATTCTAAAGAAGAGAATACAGAGTGAAACCTCCAAGTGAAATCTTTCACATCAAAGTGTTCTTGGGAATATGTTGCATACATCTGTCTGTGTGCTAAAAGTTCTCATATCTCTGTGAGCTATGAAGATCAACATCAACTATCAACATGTGCTATTGTGTAAAAGATACGTCAATATTTTGTGAGAAATCCACTCAACACTAGCCCACAGTACAGTACACTAACCATTTCCCTCTACTGACCAATTTGTTTAGAGCTATTTAAACTGTGTGTATGTTTACTACTTTTCACAGATACATTTCTGAGTTTTCATAAAACTGGTATATATCATAGCATTCTGTTACTGAGACATGCACCAGCAGAAGTAAATTGAAGATATTTCAGGCTTTTGTTTGATAAATTATGCAAGAAAATGCAAATGTTATTGTAGCAAACAATAAAATCTATTTTTAATATTAATTCCCAATCATCACTGCTAGAACTTTTTTTCTTTTTAAACAATAAGACCACATTTCTGGATAACATTGTTTTCTGAACTCAGGGACAGAAAAATACGGACTAATGTGTTTGGTGCTAGAAATGTTGTCTAAGCCTTTGAAATAATGTGGAAGAGCTTCTCCCTTAGGGAAAATATACTACTTCATATAATGTTTTGCTCTCCTGGAAAGTAAAGCAGGTAATTCCTGAAGACAATTGGACATTCCTTACACTTATGAATTTCCTGCAGTTTTCACTGAATGGAAACTTTCTTGGGGATCCCAAGCAGCATAATACTTCAGCTGAGAAAAACAGGCTGAATATTTTAGCTGGATAGCAACAAGATTGGGGTCAGTTATTCAAGGACCACAAGGTGGGGGAAGAGGGCTCATTTTGTATGAATACAATAAGTTAGTGGGAACATTGCTCCAGATTATGACGTATTTCAGTGTATACTTACTCATGGCTGAAATGTGTGTCCCTTAAAATCATAATTCAGGAATGTTTCAAACTGTCTCAAAACAATTGAGGTTCATTTAAAGCATGTTGTCAGGACTGATTACGGACTGTGCTGTTAGCAACATTAGCATGGGCAGTAGAGATGCAACAGTTATTCACATTCTGTGAGGCTCATGAATTGGCATTTATAGGGCTACTTTCTATTCAGTAAGTTTCCCAATGAACCCCAAAATGCACTTTAAATTTAAACAGAAGGTTTAAAAGTTAATGAAAGCTCAGTTTATGTGAAATTGCACTACTGTTGTATTGGAACATACAGCATTCCTATTAGAATTAAAGTATGGTGAGTCAGGATTAAAACTGCAAATATTCAGTATATTTTCTAGGCAAGCAAAGCTGCTAACTTTTTGGATCCCTTCTTTAGTATTAGTTAGTGAACTTTTCTTTCTTGGCCATGTAAATGCCTCATAGCTACTTGCTTGGAGTGCTGAGATACATAGTATGTTTGTTTTTCTTCTACCTGTCATAATGAACAATAAGCCATTTCACAAGCTTGGGAAAATCTTTCATTTTTCTTGCTTCACCTCACTTCATTATGGTGGTCCACCCCTGGCCAGAGTTTTAGGCAGTATCAGAAATCAAATAAGCAAGCATAATGCATAAAATGGGGCATCATGAGTTTTCAAGACATGTTTCTGGTGATATGGCAATTGCCAAAAAAATCCCTAAAAGTTATCTAATCTATCTCTGCTACAGAACTTTCCTATTATAGCTGTAGGGAATATTGTAACTCTTGACAACCACATTTAAGTTTCTGAAAATTATGAGCTCATCTATTTTAAACTGGATGTCAGATGTTATCATCCCTTATGAAGAAAGTCAGGATGCTAGCTTTCTTTTTTTTAATGTTCAGATATTGATGTTTCATTTCTTCTTTTTTATTTCTTTTTCTTTCTTTTTTTCTTTTTGTCTTCCTGTTTCAGAATGAAGAATAAATTTTGGTATTTCGAATTTGGCACTTCTGAAACTTTCTCAGCTACCTGCAAGAAGCTGCACGAATCCCTAGAAATAGAAGTAAGAATCTAACTGTGTGTTATTCTAGAAAATGTAAGCCTATATATTCTACCATCTACATGTAAGATATCCCTTAAAAGTTCCACAGGAAAGGTCTACTATTAAATAAAAGCATGTCAGAGTTGACAATTTTGAGGAATTCAGTTTGGCAGTGAAATTCATTTGTTTTTGAAGTGCATCCTTAAAGATGTAATATTTATTGTACCTTTTTGTTGTAACCCTGAACACTGGAACAAGATTCAGCTTAGTGATTAGCCAAACCTTCCCATATAGCAGAAAAGGTCAGGATTTATTTTATATTTTTGCATATCCTGTATTTCTAGTTACTTTTGAATCCAGAAAGCAGATAGCAATCATTGAATGCAATATAATATCACAATTATGTAATAAAATGAAATTTAAATCATTTTAAAGAGCGGAAAATCAAAACCGAACATTGGAAACAAGCATTAGAAACAAACAAGGACATTATCATTTCTAGAGCATAGGGAAGGGAAAGGAAAATGTTTAAATTAAGGAGGAATGATCCTGGGTGTGAATTTTTAAAATGTTTTTCTAAAAGGTTTATAACCTTTAAAATTCATTTCATAAAAACTACTTGTCTTGCTGAAATAAAGGTTAAATAATGCATTTTGGGGAAAGAATTCCTTTTCATTAAGTGGCTTTTGTCACTGACCAGAGCACCAGTTTCTTACTGACTGTATAAGGTAGCTGAGAAAGAAATTAAAAGAAAGATGAGTGCAAACTCTTGGAACTCTCATCAAGTGGTCAATAGATAGACTCGTAGAGCTAATTAGGTGTTTGACAACTTATTGTACAATATAACAACACTTATTTTGAAGGAAGCAAACCTCATGTCAACACAATGAACAGAATCTCTGACACCATTTGGTGGCTCTTCAGGATTGGGTTCATTAGAATCTAATGAAATTCACAAAGGTCTTTGTGATGGCAGATAAATGAAGCTAGCACAAATGACTTATTAAGCGAGGGTTGGACTAAGTGGTACATAGGGCCAGATTTTCTAAACTACTCTTACAGTGGTGTAATATCTTAATATATTTGTCTAGCCTAAAACCTCACAAGTCTGTAAAAGTATCATATAGATTCTAATCCAACAGGGGCAATCTGCCTTTCTAAAAGCAAATCACCACACATCTAGATAGGGATGGGTGCAAAAATAAATCAGTTCACATTTTAATACAAACTTCTCAGAGTGTCACATCTCAGACATAAACTGGAACAAGAGCACATTTAGACATGGAATCTGTACTCTTCCAAAGTCTGTGATGTGTTTTGTGAAAATTGGAAAAGAAGGAAGAAAGACAACATTCATTTGAAAAAGAGCTCATAAAAATCCATTTGTGTATACAAATTTGTATTTTGAAAAATGCTTTAGTCAGTGGAAAATTCATTTGGAAGATGTGTACATTTGAAGAATTTTACAGAAAATGGGTACAGTTTTGAGAGGCTTACAAAAATGCTTTTAGTTTTGAAAATACATTTGAAAATACCTATGAATTTTCATGCAGACCAAAAAATAAAGTCACAGTTTGATGTGAAAATGGAATAGCACAAACTTAAAATGTAAAAATGAGAGGCCGGCTGCTTGTAGGATGTCCTGCCCCATTTGGCGGGGGAGAGAGACAGGATATGTTCATAAGCAGCCATAGCTGTATAGTACATGGCTGTAATGGGGAAATTAGAGCTTTTCACAATCATTAAGAGCTAACTAGAAAAAAGAAAGAATATGAGATGGTATTCTAGATGAAGGGCTTTAATATAGAGAGCATCTGCTGCCACCAAGTACAGAGGCAGTAGGTAAAGACAAGGATAGCTTTATGAACATTAATCCAATTTTGCTAGTTAGAACTAGTTCAGTCATGATGCACATTGATTTAATAAACTTATTCTTAGCTTCTGAAGTTCCATTGTTATCAGATGAACTGGTTGGAGCTCTGTAAGTGAAAACAAATAAATAGCAAAATGGCATGTCATACATTAGGGATCCTAAGATGTATAATCTTGACTATCAACTTTTTTTATAAGGCATATAATCCTGAAAGTGAAATTGTCAGGAAACAACAGATTAATCATGAATGAAAATTAAGTGGTGGTTCTAGATAGATCGCTCCTAGCAAAAGACACTGTGTACGTATCCTGTCTTTATTTCCTAATTGGATTTCTTTTGGGGTGAGTGGGGAGGAGGGGTAGACAGTTAACAGAAGCATGGGAAGGTTACAAGTAGAAGATGCTATCATTCTGAACCCTCCTAAAATGCTGTAAATGAGGCAGGGAGATGGCAGGAGTGCAGTAACAAAGGAAGCTGCTTTATATTGAGTGTCATCACGGCTTCTTCATCACTGACACAGACCAACAGGAGCTCTACAGAGTTCTAGGCAAGATTCTTACCTTCTACATGCAGTGCAAGTGCTTTCCCAGAAATGCGTGCCCTCCCATATCTAGAGATATGCAGATATGTTTTAATAAATAAATAAATAAATATCAAAAAAATGGATGGATTGCATAAATTGTGTCACTTATCTCAGTGGTTATGCTAGCGAAGGGTGCATAAGGCAAGGCAGATTGATAGAATGTTTGATTTTGGTGTTTTGAAATGGCTCCTTTCAGAAAAGGGCAAGGTTGCAGAGAGGGGCTGCCAAAATGATCAAGGTGTACATGCATGTTCTCTGCAGAGAAAGGCTAAGGGATGAATGAGCTGGGAAAGGGAGTAATTTGTGCCCAGCCTCCTGCAGAGAAGCAAGGGCTACTGGGCTTGTATGACTAAATCCAGAGGTAACTGGAGCCAGCCTGGTTTCTTCCTGCCCAGCTTTTCTTAGTTGATTTATGTTTTGCATCTCCTGCCTGTTAGGCTCATTGATGCAGTGTATGGTTCAGTGTAGTTGCCAATATTTTGTGATGACACAGGTCTTTTTCTTCCGATGCCACTTTGACCCTACAGTGATTTGCTTGCTTGCTTATTACATATGTCACACAGGTGCAGAGTAAGGGCATTAAGGCCACAGAGAGGCTTCAGGATTTAGTCTTATGCAGAAAGTTCAGTTTACACCCTGAGGCAATACTTGAGGCAACCTTTAAGATGAAAGGAAACATCCTTAGACCTACCTGTCAAAGCTGTGAGACTCAAGGGGACAAGAGAAATGCTTGATGCCCAGCCAAATCTCCCACAGAAATCCATGAGGTGACATGGTCATAGCAAGGGCCATCTATGAGCAACTGTGAGTACATAGGCAACTGTTATAGGCCCCCAGCCAGAATGGCTCCTCCATACAAAGGAGAAGGTTCAAGGAGGCCTACTCCATTGCATCAGACCAACAAAGAAGGGGAGAATTTTAGTATCTAACATTCAAACCTCTGCAGATTCTTTTTAATGTTGTAAGTATAGCCTGAGTTATGCCACAAGACAAAAACAGTGCAAAACAATGCAAAGCAAATGCAATACAACTTCAGTCGATAAATATTCAATACAAATGATATAACCAACAGGTACTAATCCTGATAGCTAAATGGAATATCCATATTCAGAACTTCATTTGCTCTGGTGGGGGGATTTATTTTTATTAATTTATTTTATTTTAATTTTATTTCTGTACTATCCAAAAGCCAAATAACAGGAGGAACAGTCTACATCCATAAGGATGGCATGAGGGCTTCCCAGAATCTTCTAGATGGGCACTCTGTGAGACAGGATACTGGCCTGCCTTCAGTTTGATCTGGCAGGCATTTTCTTATGACAAAGTGCAACCACATGCAGTATTCCATTTGCTATGGCCATGGAATATCTTTCACTTTCTTCATTCTGGCATTATTGAAACTCTCTCTCTCTCTCTGTATGTGTGTACACAAACCTTGTCATATTTTTACTGCTTTCAGACATACCGCTATGTGCCCGTAATGAATGAATGCCACACTTTTATGTGGAAAACAAAAACAGTACAAATAAGATATATTTGTTTTGTTATTTAAACTTGGATATATTAGACCTGTTTTGAATATTTCTTGGTATCTGAACAAAAGAATTTCACTTTGCTAATTCTGAAAGTAACTCATCACAGCGGGATTCTAAGGCCTGGTGAAATAATTGTCTTAGTGTACTGCCTGCTGTGTTCAATATTGAGTGAAAATGCTCCCTGCACTATCTTATATCACAATTCTCCCTTTATTTAAATAATTTTAGTCAGTTGTGGGGAGGGGGCAGAAGACCTTTATAAATTAACAGCAGGGAAATACCAAAGGTGTCAGATTGCATATTTATCATCTTTTTCGTGTAATACTTAAATATGTATTAAGAAGTGACTGACATAAATTAGGCAGATTTCAGAAGCCACAGGCTGTGGCTTGTAGAGGACCCCCTTCTGCTTGACATTTCATCCTTGTCAAAGATCAAATTATTTTAATTTAGGCTGCAAATTATAAGGAATGAAGACTTCTTTGTGGGAATTCCCTGTGGTAATCTGACTTTTGTTGTTACTGCTGCTTGTCAGTGTGCAAAAGATATAATATGCATGCAAATAAGGTTAAAAAATATGTACTATCTAATTATCCAGCCAGTACATTCCACTTGAAGACAGTGGGAGGCCTGACACACAGTATGTGTTTGATTCATTGAGGCCTGCAGGGTATTTACACAAGATTACTTTTAATTATGAAATTAATATCTGTTTATCAAGAATGTATAGCAGTAAGTGAGTATACACATGAGCAGAATTTTTAGCTAAAAGAATCTTAAATGTTTAACACATACACAAGATGTAAAAAAAATAACAAAAATTTGATTCCCGTACAAGATTAAAGACACTTCTCATCCATCGCCAAAAGAAACGCAATACAAATTTGCACGTTTTGTTATCATCCCAGCTGCCAAGTGATTTCAAATGTGTTACTGCAGCTTTTAGGCTCCATTCCATGAATATGATAAGCAGGTTTAAACTTTGATTCTTAAAAGCAAATGTAAAATGGAAGCCTAATGCTTGGGATGACTCTTGTATTTTCTCCCAAGTGAATATAAGAAAGGAGATGGATGGGTGGGCAGGTAGTGTACAGAAAGGAGAAATGACCATGATCATACAAGCCAAGCCATGAATGGGGAAAAGGCAGTGCTGTTATACCCAAATATTGAGACCACATTGGGAAAGATCCAATAGGACACAGTGAGACTGCAAAGATACAGAATAGGTTTGGTAAGTGGGTCTTGAGGAAGAAGCTAAAGATGGAGACAGCAGAGGCCAATATGAGAGTAAATGTGGGCTATTTGGGGCAATGGGGTAAAGCTAGGGACGTATGAAAATCCCGTTCTAGAGTAAAATTAAGCAGCTTCTACCAATTTAACCCTGGCAGATTTTATCTTGTTCCTCCCTGTTGGCATCAACTCATTCTTGGATTATTGAAGTCTTCATAAATATAAATGATATGTTCATAAACCAGAGTGCTCAGTGAGATTCAGCTATTCCAAGACTGAAGATTAACACCTTGAAGAATTAAACAACTTAGGGTGCAATCCTTATGCTTATTTAGACAGAAAAAGTCCTCCGACTCCATGAATTTCCTGGAAAACCATGGTGGTCAGGGAATGCTGGGAAGGGTATAGAAATGTACCCTTAAAAGCCAAGATATTGAAGCAAACTCACCATCTCAGTAGCAGCAACTTAAAACATAGACAAAATGGTTAAGGGTTCGCATAAACTTTAAATTTAGATCATTGTTCTATTGAATATAAACAACCAAGGTACAAACATGTAAACATGTGTTTGTTTGTTTGTGTTATATCCCACTATGTTTCTTTTTGAAAGAACTCAAAGGGGCATCCATCATTCTCCTCCTGCTGCTCACAATTTTATCCTCACAACAACAACTTTGTGCGGTATGTTGGGCTGAATGGCCCAGAGTCATCCAGGTGATTCCAGGGCTGAGTGGAGACTGGAACCCAGATCTCTCGAGTCCTAATCCTGCACCCTCAACCACTACAGGACACTGACTCTCAATCATGCATTAACTCAGATATAGGTGAATCCAGAAGACTTCAGAAAGATTTCTAAATGAACCTGGTATTTTCTGTATAGCTCAATGACATCCAGGTTGCACTGAGATGGAAAAATAACTTCATGATGCAAACTTAGTACCATGTGGTATATTAGCTAGTTATCTTCATAACCACATAGCATCATAGAAATCCATCTTACATACACAAATCACTCATTTGTTTATTTCTGTTTTATTAGGATAGGGTTTGGGCAATGGTCCAGATGCATTAAGTTGCCAGCATTACCCATTTGTTGTTCCCTTCAGCTATTGTGCTTGTTACCACAGTGGTGCAACCACCAATGTTAGGCACGGAGAACAGAGGAGGGAAATAGCCTGCTCTTCTATTCTTCAGCTTCCTGTCCTTTGCTTGCTGCTCAAAGAAGGTGCCAAAGACCTCTGTTTCCCACATTGCCATTTGCAAGGCAAACCAGGAATCTCCTGCCCAATCTGCTCACACCTTGGTCTGGAGCAGTTCTGCATGTAGGCTTCAGGCACTGACTGTGGCAAAATGAGTTATGAGGTGCCACCACTCTTTCCTTCTGCCAGTCTCATCCACCTCTCTCTTCTTCACTTGAATTTCCAGCCTTCTGGATATGGAGCCATTAAGCACTGCCCTCCACATGCAGAGAGCTGGTTCTCAACTGTTGTTGAATCATTAATCATGATAATTAAAACATTCAAGACAAATTAGGAGTTATGTGTCTGTCGCATAGACGCTTCCATGCAGGATTGTCAAGTTGAATATGGAAAGCTATACTAAATATAAATTAGGAGGATGTTAGGATGGGAGATGTTTTATGTAAAAGCAACATAACAGTAGTCTAATAAAATGGGGAAACATAATGTCACAATAATTCAATGTAGAGTCCATAAAACTTGAAGAGAATTACTTCTAGACTTAAAAAGCAAGTCCATATCCATTATGTGATTTTCTTTTTTTTACCGTTTGCATTGGTAATATAAATAAAAGAACCAGGCTGGTATAGGCAGAATAATGTCATAAGCTATGTCATTATGTAGATGACTCTGGTTATGGTTTGGGCTGATTTTAACCATACCTGTAAATATCTTGCACCAGAGGGGGCTTTTTTTCATGGCTAAAATTGTCCTAAATCAAGAAGAAAACTTTTCACTCAGATAGCTTATTACATAGAGTTCAGTTTACAGATTTGCTTTTACAGATCCAACCTAATTCAAGCATTTTAGATTTAGTGTGTATGTATGTGTTTATTGTTTGACTGGATGAGGACTAATAAGCTGAAACTCAACCCAGACAAGACTAAAATGCTGTTAATGGATGGTTCTTATTCACGAAGAGTGGATGCTCAGTTTGTTCAGATGGGCTTGCACTCTCTGTGAAGGACCAGGTTTATAGCCTGGGACTTCTCCTGGAGTCAGCTTTGTCACTTAAGGAGTGCCTTGTCCAAGGCCTACTGCATGCTGGTCCCAAGTAAATCCTGAAGCCATCTGAGGCCTGCTGTAATATATTTACTGGGCACTTCCAGGACAAAATTTCTTGCATCTGTCAACATTTGGACTCCAATACTATATCAGTGGAATCAGATAAGATATTTAAAACAGAATCCTGTATTTGTGGATGAGTTTCAGTTAGTATAGTTTGGGAATGCTGAGAAGGTATTTAGACAGGTTCATGCAACCACATCTATACTGGACACTTGCCTCTCTTGGCTAAAAAAAGCTAGCAGGGATGGAACTGCTGGCTGGGCCAGGGAGCTGATTGATGCTTCTTTCAAGAAGGCATGCCCCCTGCACTCCTGAAAAAAAAAAACTTCTCTGGACCCAGAAGATCTCAAGGATACTAGGCCAGTGGTAAACATTTTCTTCCTGGAAAGGTTCTTGAGCATGTGGTAGTCAACCAGGTCCAGACACTTTTAGATGAAACTGACTATTATCTGGATCCATTTCAATTGGGTTCAGTCTTGGTTTTGGCATGGAAACAGCTTTGATTATCCCATGATAACCCATGCTGGGAGAGAGACAGAGGAGTGTGACTCTGTTGGTACTTTGGGACTTCTTGGTAGCTTTTGATACTATTGACTATGATGTACTTCTGAGTTGATCATCTGAGTTGGGAGTGAGGGGTATTGCATTTCAGTGTTTCTTCTATAGCCCCAAAAGGTGGTGCTTGGGGGACATTACACAGCCCCTTAAATTCTCCAGTATGGGTTTCCTCTGGGGTCAGTCTTGTCCCCATTGCTATTAAACATCTTCATGAAACTACCAAGTGTGATCATCCAGAGGTTTGAACTGTCTTCTCTTCAGTAAGCTGAAGATGCACAGTTCTCTTTCTCCTTTTCATCTTCAGCAAGTGAGATTGGAGATGTACTAAACCAGTGCTTGGCTGCAACAATAGACTGGATGAGGACCAACAATCAGATAAGATTGAAATGCTGTTAGTGGGTAGTGTATTCTGACCAGATTGGGTGGTGATGGGAGGGAGGGGGTAATTCAACCTGTTCTAGATGGAATTGCACATTGAAGGAGCAGGTTCATAGCTTGGGGGTGTTCACTGAGCCATTTTTGTCACTTGATGCCCCTATGGCTTCAATGACTCCAAGTGCCTTCTACTAGTTTTGACCGGTGACCCAGCTATGCCCCTATCTGGACAGAGATAGCCTGCTGTCAGTAATCTGTGTTCTGCTAATCAATGAACTAGATTACTGCAAGGTGCTTCAAAGGACCAACTTTGAAGATGATCCAAGAAGCTGCAGCTTGTGCAAAATTTGGCAGGTTAAGACTGTGCTCACCTTTCAGGCATTTGGCTGAATATAATGAACCTTTTGGTCTTGTTTGGGTTCTTTCTTATTGATTGTTTAAAAATTGTTTAGCTATGCATGTGCGTCTGTATCTGAATGTGCTGCCTGTTGATATGTTTGTATTTTGATGTTTTGTATAATGTATTTTTGGTTTAAACTTACTAACACATCCAGAGAGCTGTGACTAGGGTGGCAATTAATATGGCTTGTGAAGGAAGCTTGAGCATTCTTGATATTTGTCCACTAAGTTCATTGCCTTCAGCGCTGGTCATGTTGGGAATGAGGGTGGCAGTTGTTCTTGGCACGCACTCCCATCTCACACTGATCTGTACTGTGAGCCTGAGAATGGTGCAGAGGTAGGGTAGGGGGCCTGGGGGAGGTCTCCAGACTTTGAGATGAGAGAAAGGAAGGTGCATCTCTCAAGGCTGCACTTCCCAAGTGGGCAGGACGGCTATAAGAATAACCAAGAGGTACTACTGTTGGATGGGGGCATGGGACAGGGGCTCTCAGAGTCAGATGAAGCTGACACAACTCTTGATCCTATGACGTGTTCTCAGAGAAGAGAGCTAGCCGACTTTAAGGCTGGAGTGCAGAGAAAAGGTGTGCTCACTTTCCAATGGCCCCTCTTGAAGGGATTAGGCGCAGACATCCTCATAAGGAGGGCTTTTGGAAGTACTTGTTTAAACCAGGTTCAACAAAGTGCTTTGTACATACTCAGAGATACATTATGTGGTGGTTGAAGTTATTGCCCATAATACGGTGAATAGAGGCTTTTTGCAAAAGAACAGTCTGTTGCCTTGACTGTGCAAAGGAAAGAAAACCCAAGCTCACAACAGAGATATTAAGACTTTACTATTCTGCTGTTCTGTTTTTTATTATGTACATGCCCTGCGGTTCAGCAGGAAGACTTAACAGGATCCTGATCAAGGCCTTTTTGCTCTTCCTATTATGTCATATACATAATTATTTTTTTTTTAAAATCCTATTATGTGTAGATATGAATAGTATTGCTACTGCAATGATAGTTCTCATTTCCTTTTGGTCACTTACTGATTTCTTACCTTATGTCTGTCTTCTTTGTTTGCCTACTAGTGTGATGGAATTCAGATAGATTTGAACAATATTTCTTTGGAAGGGATTGCCATTTTGAACATTCCCAGCATGCATGGAGGATCAAATCTTTGGGGTGAGACCAAGAAAAGACGAAACCATCGTCGATTTGAGAAGAACAGGTCAGACAAAAGAACCCCTGTTACAGGAGCTAAAGAGCTGAAGTTTGCATGCCAAGGTGAGCACCCATGTGAAAATGAATAGTTGGTTCTAGACTTAAGGTGGTGGATTATACGAGTCTCTTTTAAAAAGCAGATGACTGTTATAATGTAAGTATGAGAGCGTCTCTGGCTGTGATTCCTAAAGGTGGAGTTTATACAGGAGTTCTAACTAGGTCAGGTGAAAAGTTGAAGATGATCAGCTATTTAAACAGCATGCTTTCTGTCTGGGCTCAGATTCTGTGATTTCTTGACAGCTTCATGAAAGGCTTTCCATTTCCAGATTAATGCCTTTTCATAGCTGATATAAAAATGTAGTTATTTTAATAGAATTCTTTGTGTATTCTTAGTTTGGTATGTTTTACAAAATGACAAGGCTTGTGATAATGTTTGTTCTGCTGGGTTGAAAACTGAGACAAACTTGTTTGTTAATCTCTGTTCTGTTCTTGATTTATACTGAATAAATATCCTATCAAATGACTTTTTTTTCCAGAGTGACAAAATAAGCACTAACCTTATCATAACTAAACCTCAGACTTGATGGTAGATCTAAGAATTTTCCTTTTCAAGTTTCTATTCTTCTTAGAATTTTAGTTATCTTAACAGAACTTGGGAATTGTTTTCCAAATCTGGGCTTCACTGGTACCCATATGTTAATGATGCACAGCCTTATTTTGCTGTTCTTCATTTAATCCCACTACCACCATGCCAACCAAATAGATGTTTTGCTTACATGCACTGGCTTGGATCCTTTTTCTTATCTACCTATTTATATTGTAATAAGGGATTTTGTGAGCTGAAGACTCTGGCAGTGATTTACAGAGTTGTTCTAATGTCAAGGAATGTTCCGGAACATTCTAAGTGCTACGGGAATGAAAAAGTCAACAATTTAGCAAACTGTTAGCAAACACTTCAGTTTCTGTGAGGGAGGTGAAAGGTCAGTTTGAGTAGGATTAGAATGCCATGCAGGGTCTGAAGTCGGTCAGTTATTGGATTGGCAGTTAGCTTTTATGGCATTACACAAGCTTGAGGGATGGGACAAGCAGAGAAACTGAAGAAAACTGGAAAACTGAATTTGGAGAATTCTCAAATGGAGGAAGCTGCAGGACAAGAAACAGAAAGGCAGACTGAAGACCGGGCACTTGACTAAGTCACGAATGCCTGGGCGCAGAACACAGAGAGGAGACAGAGATCAGCAAAAGAAACACAGAGAAGACAGGAAGCATGGACTGAAAGAATAGCTGGAAAAAAGGAAAGCAGCACTCACACATGGCCTGAGGGAGAAAATATGTACCACTGGCTAGAAAGTAAAAGGGGACTGTAAACAGTATTGGGCAAACAGAGGGAACAGTGGGCAGTTGATCAAGACAAAAGAACAGAAATGATAATAGAGACATAGAATTGAAACAAGCAGAGAAGGGCAAGCAGAACTGGAAAAATCTTTGCCTAGAGTCTAAATAGAGGAAGAAGTGTGAGTCATTAAACAGAAGAAAAAAGATCTTTGGATACTGTAGTACTATTGTCCAGGGAATTAAGGGGGCATAGATTAGCCTAAGCCACACTTAGAATAAATCTGTGAGTCTTCTCCAACTTTGTGAATTCCAGAAGTTTTGGGCTTCAACTGTACTCAACCCTAGTCAGTATGGCAGTATTGGATATGGTAATCTGAGATTACTGTTTCTGCCACACTATTATCAGAAAAAATACTGTTGCAGCAGTGTTATGGGAGGGAGGGATAGATGCTAGATACTAGACTCTTAAGAAGCAGTATGGTCCCACAGGAAAAGGTAGGACAGCCTGAGCTCCATAGGACATTTAATTCCCTCTTCACTGTGCATGTAACCTCTCAGGGAGATGTGACACCTGACATGTGGTTGTGATGAGTTCTGTCCCAGAGTTCAAGATAAATGCTAGTGGGGACCATGCTAGGAGTGATAGGATTTACTTCTAAGTGTGCATAGGATTACACCCTAAAACATATTCACAATATAAAATGAGTGGATCCATCATCCACCTTAATTTTTCTTTCTCCATTTCCTGCATAAAGAGCATGTGGTACATACATACATAGATTCCTGTATTTTCCCCCTTTTAGCAAGCATCTAGTCTAGGAAACTCTAAGATCTGATGTTCATCTCTCCATGCCTGGCCTTATTATAAAGTGAAGTGAAGCACTTCCCATGGGCAGCAGATTCCAAAAGGAGTACTATCATCCTGTTCTCATTTTTGACCACTCATCCTGTCCAGTCAATCTCATTTTAAAAAAATGTGAGCTCCAGCCCAAAACAGGGGTCTTCATTTTCACCGTATGTGTGAGAATGTCAAAGGCTAGCAATGTAATCCACCTCACATGCACCTGCAAATGGAATTTTTCCAAAGATCAGGGTTAATATGCTAACGCTTACAGCACTGAGAAGTATTGAAGCCAAATGTCTAGCAGATGAACCTCAGCCAAAGCTATCTTCGCAATCTTACAGTTTGTAAGAATTCTTTGGGTTTTTAAAGAAGCTGCGTGTTTCCACAGACTGGTTCAGAGACCTCTCAGCAGTTGCCAGCGAGATTGGCTCTAACCACTGCCATAGCCTTTACTATAACTACTGACATTCCACTTTTGTCTTCAAAGCAGATGTCACCCATTACTGAGAACATTCTCTCTGCAGGTGCATTAGAGTCTCTGCATGCCAAAACAAATTCAACAAGCAGCAGAGGATTTTATGATGTACTTTTTTAAAAAAAATCACTAACAGCCAGTTTTCACCCTCATTTAAAAAACAAACACAAATCCTCTGTATGTGTAAGACACAGAAAGACAGAGCAAGCCAGCAGAGAGACTCTGAAGTGGGGGTCATGTCCATAAATGTCCATGTATTAACAAAGTCATGATTTCTGTAGCTTTGGGGCAAAGCAGCAAATGGAAAGAAGGATGAAGAAATTATAATTTTATCACTGTATTAGGTACCTACTTGGGTTTGGATTAAACAATACTCTATGCAGGCATTCATCCAGCTCACATGAATGCTAAAAGTGGGAGGAAAAATTGATGTGCATGCAAGCCCCTCCTCCTCAGGGGCATTTTAATCTCCTCAGTGCTCACTCTATGCACACTAGACAAGAGGTCTGAAAGGGCATTCTTGTCACATTAGTTTGGTTGCAAGGAGTTCCAGTCTGATCCAGAACCTAAGAAAGCAAGGTCCCTCTTCTGAGTTTCCAATGCACTTTGATCCCTCATATGCACCAGCTGATTGCTTCTATAGGACTAATCAAAGAAACTTCCAAACTGATACCTTGGCACTATGTTACATAAATATAGGGGGAAGAACAGTAACGAGCTTTCCTCACAGCATGGATCTGTCAGATTTCTAAGTGGGGTTTCAAAAAGATGAATGGGGAACCAATGATTTCCTCATGACCAATATAACACTCTATAAACCTGTCGCCAAGCCCAATTGACTATGTATTGTTGCGTTAATGAATTATTAGAAAGCAGAAACCTGTTAGCTGAGTAGGAACAATTATTTTTAAGTTTAGAAGCTTTTACTAATTATTAGCAAACACCTTCTATTGAGAAATGAACACCTTGTGTGAAAATGATAGATTTATGGGTTTGTTTATTTAGGCTGGATGAAACTCAACTGTAGCATAAATTAATTTTCATTTTATGTAATTAATTACATTTTTTCTTTCATAAGATCTAACAAGGTTAATTGCATGGAATATATGATTGGCACCAAAAGGTATAAAATAAACAAAATAGTTTATGTTGTGCCTAGGACAAGCTTCTAGCTAGTTTTCCTAAAAAACAAATTTCAGTCTTTGTGTGTAGAGATAAATTTTGGGAAAGGGATCTGTCCTTCTCCCTTTTCACCTCTTTTCTCTCCTTATGACCTTCTTGGTTTATAACCTTATTCTGTGCAAGATCATAGAGTTTATAAGGCCTCCCCACCAAAGCCACTTTTTTCACCTCTGATACCCCAAGGTACAGTGTCATAGCCTTAGATTAAAAAAAAACCCTTTAGAGAATTGGAATGGCCTAAAAATAAACATGGATGCTTTTTAACCACCAGCCTAACTAATGAAAACTCTCTCATACCAATCAATCCACAAAATATTTAGTCAATTAATATTCTGATTAAAGCAATTTAAGTTTGAAAGCCCAGTTACACCAAGTAAATTCGAGAACCATGAAACAGTAGATGCAGTCAATTAATTTGTGAGTTACCTCTTCATATTTTTGAGTTTTACCTGCCCAGCATTTTCCCTTATGCATATTGGTCTTAATAACAAACAGTAGAGGGAATTAACCACTTTCTGTAATCTGTATGAAATATTTTTTCAGATGTTTAAACTAGTTGGACTTCTTATTACTCCAACAATAGCAAGCTCCAACAGTTTGTATCTTTCTTCCTATTTTAAGCCATATTAACAATGTCATTCTAAATGCTGTTCCTGCTAGTTAAATGGCCTCTTTCTTTTTCAATTATCTAGTAACATTTTTGTCAATTGGCTAGCAGCACATATTATCAAAACTTGTCATAAACTGGATAGTTCTTTTGGATTCGTATAATGATGGAAGATATGTTTAAAAGACTCCATGTCCTTGCAGAAATCAAACATGTGGCATAGACCAAGAGAGATCTGATGGAAGTGTCATTAAAAGAATCGAGTGTCTGAATTCAGCACTTCTAAATTCTGTGGTCACAGTGTCACCCTTCTTTCAGGCTATAGCAAGTAGTTCCTTTTTGGAAAAAAAAAGCTCTTTTCTATTATCTTTTGTTTTAGCAGAATCTATTCATTTTCCAGAGAAGAGATCTGCTTTTTCCATGTGCCAGTTTGCAAAGTGAAAGGTTTTTACTGCTTGGATATAAATCCAAGCCAGAGCTGATGTTGTTAGTCTAAAGAAACCTTTAAGAAATGTGGGATTTTAAGGAAAGCATGCATTTCTAAAACTGAACTTAGAGAAACTAAAAACTTAGAGATTTCACAAAATCATTTATATCACATTATCAAGATGCAAGAGTGC